TATTGTGTGTAGTGATAATGTCTTGAAACATCATGATATAATATCTTTGCCATATCATCCATCCCCACTCTCCAGTGCGATGCTCTACAGAATGCAGTGGTCAAACCTTCTGAACAGAGTGACCCTTCCTTTTCATGCGGTCAACACAAGCCAGTGTCATTATTTATTACGCAAACTGGCCAGAATCACTGAGCACTTTCATTCCAGTGACTCTCCTTTTCCTGCAGCCATACGAGCACAACAACACAGGATGCAGGTCATGTGGTGACCCGCATATGACATCATTCCGTTCAGTCTCTGTGCTTTCCTGCCTCACTATAAACAACAGAGGAGTGTCACAACAGCCACCCAAAAAACTACATCCAACCACCTGGCTGACAAGAGAAACTGAAACCACACTCTCCTCACCAAATTAGATTCAACTATAATGTTCTAACCAAACAAAAGTTCTACAGTTGCTAATGTGTCGAGTAAATGCTGCATAACCTTTCAAAATATTCAGGTGTGATAAGAGGGAGGTGTTGTGTTTAGTAACTGTGCAGAAATTTGGAGCAGTTTCTGGTAAGAACACCTCTACTGTATTCTTCAATTTTAGTCCAGTAAACTCACTTACTATTCAGATACTAGAAATCTAGTATCACTAGAAAAATTCTTACATACATTCTTAAACCTTCACGCTCCCTTGTAAAACATTTTACTCTAATAATTTGCTCTATTTAATTTGAACTTAAAGTCAACACAAATCAAAAATCATAACACAGGGAAGGTCTTTTTTATTTCTCCTCAATTTATGTCCAATTCCATTTGCTGGGTCTCCCACTTTTACGTACTGCTACCAACCCAGTAAGTCAATATTTCAGGAAAATAAGCCATTACTTCAAGACACTACGTCAGTAGTAAATATTTTGAGATATTAACAATACTTCAAAAACTACGTCATTAATTTATGATACTAAGTCAATTTTTCAAGAAAGCAAGTAGTTGTTTTGAGATGGTGTCAATATATCAAGACAATCTTTCATTATTTTAAGATACTAAATCAGTAATTTGAGAAAATAAGTCATTATGTCAAAATACTGTCAATATTTCAAGAAAATAAGTCATTATTTTTAGAAAATAGGTAATTATGTTGAGATACTTAATCAATAACTTGAGAAAAAGTCATTTACTCTAACTTTTGTTGTTTTTAATTTTTAAGCCATTTACCAAGAAGCGAACTCGCGCTCTTCTGATGATAGAGCAAAAAATAGATTGTTGCACAACTGGAAAGCCTTCAGTGAGGATCTCTGAGCTACCTGAGTGTTTTCTCTCCAAGACAGGTGGGGGTGGACGGGAAGGAGAGGTGAAACATGATAGTACTGGTTCATATTATGTTTCCTTCCTGCTGGTGCATGATGACGTAATAAAAAAAATCAAAAGACATTTTGTAAGTCATTACAATTCGATAGAGCACTAAAAAAAACAAGAATTTGGGGTTTTAGAATATATGACATGATGAATTGTGCTTGACATGAGACAGAGACATTAACAAACAGGGTAAAAAAGATCCATTTAGATTTCAGTCTGACTTTACCTGCACTTTGACTGTGAACACCTGTCCCCTGATTTAATCTCACCTGATGCAGACAGCTGCACAGGTTTTGAATAAAGAAACATTCCTGCAGTGCAGTTCCGAAACCAAAGCACTTTAGCACTGTTTTTTCTAAAGCAAACTCAAGTTCACTGGTGCGACTCCAGTCCTCTACAAATCTGTGATGACTACACACATATCTTCAGCTGTAATTGAATCAGTATCACATGGCTAAAAAAATAACTTTGGGCTAAAAAAATGCAACTGATAAAGAGCCGCTGAGCTGAGAGAGGACGAGCGCAGATAGCACGGCAGCGGAGCACAGGGTAGTGTTTTCCAGTGGAAATTTATTTGGTTATAATCTGTAATCGTCCAGCGGAAGATAGTGTGTGGAAAGGACTATACAAAAAGGTTATAAAGGTCTCTGCTTGCGTGATGACGTGCATTGAAATGTCAACTCACACCTGTTGTTATATTCATTTTACATTATTAATGATGAATAATCATTTAATGATTAATAATTAAACTGATAAATCATGACTGTTTATTATGACTTTTTTAACAGATAACATATACTTAATGCCAGTATACTGATTATTCTGATTATACTGATCCAAAAGCACAATAGTTTCCAAATATATCACAGTAACACAATATCAGATGATGCATTATTAACGTTAATAAGCCTATGCTTCCTGAATATTGCTACTATAATAAAAGAATATCTTAAAATCCTGACACAGCATGTTTTGAGTCATTTGAGTCGTATTACTACCAGCATGTCAACTGAGACTTGGCTATTTTATGGAACACAATGTTATCATGTACAGCTGAAGCCATAAGTTTACACACACTTAGGCTGAAGTCATTAAAACTCATATTTATCCCCTCCACAGATTCCATGTCAACAAACTATAGTTTTAGCAGGTTGTTTAGGATATCTACTTTGTACACAAGCAATGTTTCCAACAGATGTTTACAAACAGATTATTTCACTTATAATTTAAATTCCAGTGGGTCAGAAGTTTACACCAAGTTGAGTGTGCCTTTAACAGCTTGGAAAATTCCAGAAAACAACATCATGGCTTAGCATAGAAGCTCCTAATAGGCTAACTGACATCATTTGAGTTAATTGGAGGGGCACCTGTGGCAGTATTTTAAAGCCAACCATCAAAACCTACTTGCCTCTTTGCTTTACATCATAGAAAAATCAAACGAAATCAGCCAAGACATCAGAAAAAGAACTGTACACCTCCACAAGTCTGGTACATCCCTTGGAACAACTTCCAGATGCCTGAAGGTACCATGTTCATCTGTTCAAACGATAATATGCAAGTTTAAACACCAAGAGACCATGCAGATAACACACTGTTCAGGAAGGAGATGCGTTCTGTTTGCTAGAGATAAACATACTTCGGTGCACAAAAAATACAATTCAATCCAAGAACAACAGCAAACAACTTTGTAAAGATGCTGAAAGAAGCAGGTACAAAAGTGTCTATATCAACAGTAAAATGTGTCCTATATGGACGTGATCTGAAAGGCCACTCAGCAAGGAAGAAGCCACTGCTCTAAAACTGCCATAAAAAGGCCAAGCTACAGTTTGCATCTGCACATGGGACAAAGATCTTACTTTTCAGAGAAATGTTCTCTGGTCTGATGAAATAAAAAAGGAACTGTTTGGCCATAACAACCAGGGTTATAGATGAAGGAAAATGGGGGAGGCTTGCAAGCCACTGTTCCAACCATGAAGCATGGGGATGGCAGCATCATGTTGTGGGGGTGCTTTACTGCAGGAGGGACTGGTGCACTTCACAAAACAGATGGGATTATGAGGAAGGAAAATTATGTGGAGATGTTGAAGCAACATCTCAAGACAGCCAAGGAATTAAAGCTTGGCCGCATGTGGGTTGTCCAAAAGAACAATGATCCCAAGCATACTTCCAAAGTTGAGGCTAAATGGCCTAAGGACAAAAATGCGAGGGTAATGGAGTGGCATTCACAAAGCCCTGATCTCAATCTCATAGAAAATTTATGGGCAGAACTGAAAAAGCATATGCAAGCAAGGAAGCGTGCAAACCCGACTCAGTTACACTAGCTCTGTCAGGAGGAATGAGTCAAAATTCCAGCAATTTATTGTGAGAAGTTTGTGAAAGGCTACCCGAAAAGCTTGACCAAAGTTAAACAACTTAAAGGCAATGCTGCCAAATACTAACCACGTGTATGTAAACTTCTAAACCACTGACAAAGTGATGAAAGAAATAAAAGCTGGAATAAATCCATGACTCTAGCACTACTCTGTCATTTCACATTCTTAAAATATAGTAGTGATCCTACTGGACCTAAGAGAGGGAATGTGTACTAGTATTAAATGTCAGTAATTGTGAAAAACAGAGTTTAGAAGAATGTGGCTAAGGTATATGTAAACTTATGACTTCAACTGTGTATAATGCTCATTACCTTCACTGTATGTCCAAAAGTATCCAGACAGTCCTTCTACTGTAAGATGAACCTATCTTGTTCAATTGTGCTCCACAGAAAAGCATTGATCGATAGAAAGGGATTCTCTCACACAGCCACACATGAGCCTCAGGTAAGGTCACCATGCCCAATGCCAAGCATCAGCTAGAAAGGTATAAAGCCTCCCAGCACTGGGCTGTTGAGCAGTGGAACTGTGTTCTCTAGAATGACACAGCTCCATCCAGTACCTTTGGTATGAGCTGGAGTGATCTCGAACTAATCATCCAACATCAGTACCTGACCTCACTAATGCTCTTGTGGCTGCAATCAAATCCTCACAGCAATGTTCCAACATCTAGTGTAAAGCCTTCCCAGAAGAGTAAATGCTGTTATTGCAGCAAAGGAGGACAAACTTCTTATTAATACCCTTGATTTCAGACAAAACATTGGTGTCTACAAACATTTGGACATCTATACTGTATAATTAGTCCTAGATTGTGCCAACTTATCCTAAAGGTATTGGATGGAGTTCCATCACTCCAGAGAACGCAGCTCCACTGCTTCACAGTCCAATGCTAGAGGACTTTATACCCCTTCAGCTGATGCTTGGCACTGCGTAACCTTAATCTATCAATACCTGAAGCTAACGGTATACCAGTATAGACTATTATTATATTGTACATCTAGGCCTTGTATCTCCATTTCTTGACATAATTTGAAAACATCAGCTGCTCTTCATATCATGTTAAAATTTCATGATGAATGGACCAATAGAAATGCTCTAAAGTAACATGTACATAAATCTTGTTCGATTAACCACCTGAGAGGTAAGGTTTTTTCCTTCTCCTGAAAAATTACTTTTTTAGGAGATACAAGGTGACAGTGACAGTATATTATATTGAGGTGAGGTGAGTTTATAATCAAGATGTTCACCACAAAAGGTGTATCACACAAAATCACTCGCAATTACCTTTTGGTCGACTATCGAACACACAAGATCTTTCACCGCTGAAAGGGAAACATCACTGGCATCCAGGTTAACAGCCTCCCTGGTTAGTCCGATCTGCAGAAGAAAGGAAACGCCATGGAAAGACCCCCTGGAGTTGGTTGGGCTTGGAGCGCTCGTGCTGCCATTGGAGAGCCGGCTGGAGACAGTGGAGGGAGGACTGGGGGACGGCGGAGGGCCCAAAGGGGCCACATGATGCTGGGCAAGGCCGAACGCTTTTGGAAAAGATGGAGGGGATGAGCTGCTGCAGGTAGACATTTGCGCTCCTTTAATGTCTTTTTTAACGTGTTCCACTTGTACGCACTAGACCAGCAGTTGAAAAGTCATGAAAAGAGGAGCATGTCCAGCCTCCAGAGGAACTACACCATGACTTTAGACCAGCCTGGCTACAGTTATGGTGCTCTTAACATGCTTGTGTGAATGTTCCACCTTATTTTCACTTGTTTGCCCCTCTGACGTCCGTTTTTCCACTTTCTGGTTGGATGAAATTCAGGTTAGCACCAGCACAGCTCCCAGCCTGACGGACAGAGACCTTTATAACATGTTTATGGATCTTGAATCCTCCTGTGGTGAATGTTTCAGCAGAAAGTGTTAACCAATATCCAACCTCAGACCCAATCAAGGGACTTCAATCTCAGACCAACTTCTCGCCAAAGAACATCGAGAACATCCACTGCAAATGATCACAAATTAACATTTTAACGCCTGATCAGTGGAAGTTAATGACTCTTGTGTCTACAGTTAAAAAGTAACTGAACAATGAACGTTATGCAACAACAACAGAGCAATAATCATTACACATCTGTTGAAACCACCTTATTTGTAATTAACATGTTATTGCAGCTCATGCAAAGCATTATAGTCCTTACAAATGTCTATAAGATGCTTATTAAAGCCTTTCAAGGCAGACACTGAAAAAGAACATCTGTCTCCACATCTGGACTCATCTGTATCTGTTCATTTGGAAAGAAATCGTTGAGCACTGAACTACACTCTTAGGTGGATATATTAAAAAGGCAACAGTTCTATTTAGAACATAGATTCATGCTTAATTGTTCTTTGCATAGTGAAATGGTTCTTCAGATTGATGGAGAATGTGTTGTACATGGTTCTAAACACAGCCTTTTTAAAAAAGGTTCTATGTAGCACCAAAAAAGGTTCTGCTATTGTATAAAAGTTAGACATCTAAAACAATAGCAGAACCCTTTTTGGTGCTACATAACCATCAACACATCCTCCATCAATCCGAAGAACCATTTCACCATTCAAAGAACCATTTAAGCACGCACATGGTTCTATGTAGAACTAAAAAGAACCATTCCCTTTACTAAAGAACACTTGAAGAACTATCTGTTTTTCAGAGAGCACATAAGCATGAAACGGTCGGCAATTTCCTATTAAAAGCGACTGAATGTAATGCAAATAAATAAATAAATAAACAAACAAACAAACAAACAAACAGAAAGTTCTTTACCTTCTTCACAGGGAGGGTTTCATGCAGATGTTAAATTCCCCCACAGTCCACTTTTTATCTGTCTAACTTCGTCCAGTGGCACATAAAGTCACTAATAGTGTCCGACACTCTCCACCACTGTCTTACTTGAAGTTTTCTTTTCGACACCGCGCGCTCGGAAACACACGGACACAAACTTCTCGCAGCTCAAACTTTCGTTCATGCGTGTCCCATTATCTCTCTCTCTCTCTCTCTCTCCCTCTCTCTCTCTCTCTCTCTCACTCCTCTTTCAGCAGCTACCAATGTGGATGTTATGGTAAACGACACAGGACCAAACGCTTCTGGGAGTGTGAGTTCAGATGTTTTTTCCTCCTCCAAAGCCGAAAAGGGGAAACTACATTACCCAGCAGGCAGAGTCAAACCTGTTTCTTCAGCGCGTGCGCAAAATGCTCTGTTTTCCCCACCCGTTTTCCGCTAAATCCTGTTTGTATGTGTGAACCAATGAGATCCAATAACAAGTTTTCTTTAACAAGAAAAGAAAAAGTACATCAAAGTAATCACAGAAGAACAAATAACACAGGCATCACGTGACACCATATAAGGATGCAGGGCAAAAAAATGAATAGGTTTAACCACTGCAGTAAATTAAATTAATGAAATGAAATGAAATGAAATTTGATTTAAAAAGTATTTTAACATGGATGTTTGCAGTTTTTGGTTTGTATGTTAGGTTTCTTTCTCTTTTGCTAATAGGAATATATTATTAACCCAAAACAATAATGACATTTAAAAGCAGTCATTATATGAATATAAAATGATACATATTATACATATACAAACTATATATATATATATATATATATATATTTATATATATATGTGTGTGTGTGTGTGTGTGTGTATAGTAGACCATTGTGCATAACTATATGGCATACATGAGCCAAGCCCATTCTCAGATATGAGCCTAAAGTAGAAGTAAATGAAGAATGAAGAAATACTGAGTTATCTACTAATTTCTTGTACATCCAGCATCTATCAGCAGAAGCTGAAGTTTCGGCCCTTTTCTTCTCTTTTTGATCCCTTTTGGTCTAAAATAAAATGATAAGTGTGAGAAACAGGAAACAGTGAAATAGTTCAGAAGCCGAACCACCAGAACAGAATGAAATAAACTCCTCCATTGGCCAGGACACATCACTAGGTATAAAAGTTTTACTATACACTTTCACAACCTAGCAATAACTCATATATGTAAGTATGTAGGGAGCCTGGGGTTTTATTTTGGGATTAAATCAAAATTCACAACCAGAAATGGTTTTAATGGCCAAGTGAGACCTATTTGTCTTGACACTTTAGTTCACATTAAAGGCAGGCATAGTAACCAGGAAATAAATGAAGTAAAGCCAAATATAGACAATAATAAACATGCGCAAAAGTCATGATTAAAAACACTATATTCAGACTGAACAGTATTTACACACACAATAAAATATGAAGGAGTACAATAATTTTTTTTTATAAATACTAAGAAAAGCACAAATCCATCAAAAGCTAAGAAAAAGTAACTAACCAATCACAGAGCAAGAGTGTGAACTACTAGCCAATCAAGCCTCAGGGGGGCGGGATTTTCACGAATACAGGTGGGAATAAAACTCCCGTTTCCAACAACAGTAATGGCTGTAGTATCTGCGACCTCTAACGGCGCGACTGAGGATGCAGAAGGGAGCAAAGCTGGGTGGCTGTCCAAGAAAACTCAGTTCACACGTCGCTGGAGGCCAGCATGGTTCCAGATAAATCAGTCCAGACTCCTCTACGGACCAAACGAAAAGGTAACTAAACCCTAATAAGGTTTATTAGCAGCTCTCTGTGAAGTGGCCTACAGGTTCTTAAGAAACTTAACAAGGCTTATCAGCTTATCAGGACACCACTATGGTCTACAGTTCATCTGTGGTCACTCAGAGCACAACTTCAGCATGAAAGAACTTACTTTACTGGATATATAGAAGTGAAACCTCATCATGTTTCTCAGCTCTGTTAGCTGCACTGTTGATGTGTTGCTATGAAGTCAGATCCTCAATCTTAAAGTAAATGGTTCTTTAGTAAAGGGGGTGGTTCCTTTAAAAGCTATGAGTTCAATATAGAACCATTTGCCTGCCTAAATTGTCCTTTGCATGGTGAAATGATTCATCAGTGTGATGGCGAATGTGATGTATATGGTTCTATATTGCAGCAGAACCCTCTTTGGTGCTATATAGGGCTAGTTTCAAAAAGGGTTTGTATAGAACCATATCCCACATTCTCCATCAGTCTGAAGAACCATTTCGCTATGCAAAGAACCATTTAAGCATGAAATAGTTTTATATAGAACTCATGGTTCTAAGTAGAACCTGTAGCTTTACTACAGAACCCTTGAAGAACCATCTTTTTAAAGAGTGTACTGGGTTTAACCTAAGGAGTAAACATAGAACTGTGCATCTACTCTACATGCTTAAAAAAAGATGGTTCTTAAAGAGAACACTCAAAGAACCCTTTGCATGAATAAATGGTGCTTTTCATTGTGACAAGTTTTTCCAGATTGATGGAGAATGTGTTCTAGATGGTTCTGTATAAAACCTCTTTTGAAAAGGGTTCCGTATAGCACACAAAGTGGTTCTTCTGTTGTGACAAGCTTGACACCATAACAACATAAGAACCCTTTGTTTGCTATTTTTCAAAAAGGTTCTATATAGAACCATCTACACACATTCTGAAGAACACTTTCATGTTGCAAAGACCTCTTAAATCATGCAAAGTGTCATGTTTCTTCATGGAACCATTGTCTTTACTAAAGAACCCTTGAAGAACCATCTTTTTAAAGAGTGCACAGTTAAACCATATCTGTGAATGAGTTTATCAACCCGCACACATTTAGAGCAAATCTTTTTCTCCCCAGGGTCCACTTCTGTGTGGGTTTGTGTATCAAAAATAATCATAATTCTTATTTACATGAACATTTTCCAACCTTCTAACCTTAGAATTAAACAGGCTGTTCGTGTTACTGCGCCTTTAAGACTGATGTATGTAAATGAGTTCTGTTCTAATTCAATGCGCTGCATCATGCCTCATTCAAAAAGCAGCCCAGGCTGAAACACTCCTTATAACTTCAGTGTGAGCGGAGCAGAACTGCTGTAGGCTGCATAGGCTGATGTGTGTAAATGCATTGTTTTTTTTGTGACATCACCGAAACAGTTAATGTGAAACAAACATTTTTGAAGTTTTATAGTTTTTGCAATGTTTACATACTACATCAAACCTTTTTATTTAAAAAATGTGAGGAAATTCAGTTTCCCGTGTTATGGGCCTTTTAAAGATGGGCATCTTGTCTTTCTATTTCAAGTTTTGTAAATGAAAAGATGTGAATTTATTTGAATTATTTCACTTAATTTTAATAAGTGATGACAGAAGACAAATAGAAACACTTGACATACATTTTGGTAAGTGATTCACTTGTTATTGTGATATATTATTACAACAGAAATACTGTTTTGAAAAAAGTGTCAATTATTATCAATATTATTATTCTAGCAACAATGGGCCTCATTCACCAACCATTCTTAAGAAGAAATTTCTTCTTAAACCCCACTTATGCAGTTTTCATGAATCTGACGCAGACTTTTCTTAGGACCCTTCTCAAGAACAAATTTAAGAAAAAACTTAAGGAGATATTGGTGGAAAAGGCACATTGTCAGTTAAAACAGTCACTATAATTAGCATGCTAAGTGCTAATGCTAGCAAGTCCTTGAAACTCCATTGAACAGCTTTGTATGTAAGTGAGATTTCTGCACTCTTAGCAAAAAGGGCTCTACATAGAACAAAAAACAGAAACATTTTGGTGCTTTAATACATCTGTATGTACATATCAGGAAATAAAATCTGTCATCTCATATTCATCTTTTGATCTTAAACCCAAATGTCTTCAGTGTATAGCAAAAACAAAAGAACAGGCCTTACAATTCCAGTACTTTTGGAGGAGACTTTCAGACAATTTTTTAAAGGTTCTTCACACAGCCATACATATAACAAGGTCTCCATCATAGAGAAGAACAATTTAACCACACAAAGAGCCATTTAGGATTGAAGTTGCCGTTTGAGTTGTCATGGTTCTAGATATACACCACTGTCTTTACTTAAGACCCTGGAAGAACCCTTGCTTTAAAAGGGCGATGTGCTGAATGGGATAAGACCTCTTACCTCAAAAGTAACTAGATTTTCACTTCAAAAAGATTCCTTTTTTTCTCAAAACCAAATGTACTGCTTTCTCCTCCGCCACCCCCCACCCCACCATCATCATATCATTTTAATACCTTTTCTTGCACAACATTTAAATGTACAGATCACTATTATCTAATGACACAAACCTAGATCAGATGACCCCAAAAGGATATAAGAATAATCCCAGGAATACAGAATTAACTAGCCTATAGCCATTCAGTAAATGTGTCGAGATCAGAAGTTACCCTGCTGTACCAACTACTGACCAATAAATGACCTCTGTTCTAGACTGCAGCCAAGACAATCAGCCTGATAGGAGCGCGGGTTGAGGCACTGGAGGACGACGGACGTTTTGGCTGGGCTATAACTCCAAAAAACAGTAAAAGGACCTTCTTTCTGCGGGCTGGCTCAGCTGAGGAGCAGCAGGAATGGATGGTGGCCGTTTGTGAAGCGCAGATCAAGTCTGGAAAGCATGCATCAAATGCATGTGTTGTGCAGTAGCAGAGCTGTTAATCTCTGCATTTGGAAATCTCAAATTTCATGTCCATTTGATTTTAATGACTGTGGTTTGACTGGATCTGGAGGAGCTGTTTACTCAGTATTGGAATACAGACAGTCAAAACAATAAACAAAGCTTTTTAACTTTATTAAATGTACGTATAATCAACTACAATCTATTCTAAAATTGAGGCAGTTGAGTCACATTTTCCTTCAGATTTGATGCAAATCCTTATGCAACCCTTATGCAGCTGTTCCTGCTGAGGATTTTCAATAATTAATCATTTTTTTATACTTAGACTGTATGTTGTAATTCTACCACATCAAAATTGATACTAGAAGCTGTATTTACACATAAATGATGATAAATTTGTAAATATTAGTTGTTTTACCTTCCACCCAATGACTGCTGGGATAGGCTCCAGCTCCCCCCACGACCCAGAAGGATAAGCGGCTTAGAAGGAGGGTGTGTGTGTGTAGTTGTTCTTTTGTGTCAATGTCTTTTAATTCCCAAAATAGTCACAATGGGAATTGAGTCTGTCTCAGTTAATCAATTAAACTTGATTAAACATTGATTACTCAAAAAAACATCAATTAAATTGACCTTCTTGATAAATATGCAGTGATTACTCTTTTGTATGATAAGAGAGAAACAGAGCCTGTAGAACACACCCATTTACATGCACAGTCATATACAAATCAAATGCAAATTCCATATTTTGTTGATGTAAGTGATACGTCCTCTACCGAGAACGCCCTTCAGTTTTCATGCACAATTACTGTTTGTTTGCTGAATTTAATGTATTGGGGAAAAATGTGTTATACTTTATGTTTTTTTGTTACTTATTTTCACTTAGAAAATTAACAGAACATGAAATTTGACCAGGGGTGCCCAAACTTTTGCATACATCTGTATATTTTTTTGCCTCTTGTGATTTTAATGTTTTCATGTGCTTTTTTTTTTAAATAAAGTATTTTAAAGGCTTACAAATTTATCTTTTGCCTATAAAATATGGAGTTTTTGAAGAGTTATGCTTAGTTTGTTATTGTTCAGTTAAAAATCCCAGGTTTATTACATTTTAAGGCTTATTATTCAGTAACTACATGGAAAGAAATGCAAACCGGCTGAGTCTTTTTTTAAATTATAGAAGTTTGAGCCATTAAAAATTATATTTAAGGAGTATAATTGCGAGAGTCCTGGGCTCTTCACTCTCGCAACTACGTGACTAAAAGATACGTTTCAAAATAGCACTGAATAGTAGTTTGTATAGTTACTGAATAATTGATAGCAGTTAAAAGATATTAAACTAACACTGTAAAATATTAAAAATATTTATGATACTAAAACTGAGCATTACGGTCATATGCAAAAGTCCCATCACCCCTGGTCAAATGATATGCTTTGCTGATTTTCTACAGAGAACAAACTTCAACCTGGTATTTTTCTATTTCACAATTTCTATTAATTTGCAAACTTTAACATATGGTAAAAAAACAAAACAAAACATAAAAAATGAAATGTGCCACAGCTTTTGCTCAGGCCACATGTTGTGTTTCCCATATGTTCAATTCAGCATATAAACAACAATTGTGCATTAAAATGTGTAGAAGTGTGATCTCTATAGAAGTTATGTCACTTAGAAAATCAACAAATCATGTAATTTCACCTGCGGTGCCCAAACTTTTGCATTCACTTGTATATTAAATGTCCAGCAAAGTTTGAATGAGAAAAAAAAACAAGATACAAGTGTGATGAACCAGTTTTAAAACCACTAATCAGGCCTGTCTGATAACTGTCTGGGCGTTGTCTAATATTGTAATGAGGGCCTGTGTTTGACATCCCTCACTCCAACACAACCAGTCTGCTGTGGACCTGAATCAGAACTAAACCCAGCAGTGCAAGCGGAGGGACAATGAGTGAAATAGGTTTATGCAGGTCATGTTAAAATGAATAACTGAATAATAAGCCTGCAGTTTAAGGGTAAGTTCACTTGTATTGGTTGACCTTTTTGAAAAACTCTCATCAATGTAATTCGTAAAGTAAGATTACTAAAATAATGGACAGTGACAGTCCTACTGTGTAATTGCTGCATTAGGGCTGATTTACCCTGATACTGCATGACCTTTATCTTTGGCTCTGTGAACTGCTGCAAAAGGCCTTCATACATAAAACATTGATGGTTTCCATGGTACAGTCTTCCACCAGGACAGTCCTGCTGTGAATAGATCAGCGTGCTGACTTACAGGTGCTATTTGTTTAAAGGGGAAACAGTGTGTTATGAAATGCAAAGCATGAAGAGATAGTAGAGGCCTGCTCCTCTGCCCAGTCAGAATGATGTACAGATGTAAATGTACAGTGCCATGAAAAAGTATTTGCACCCCCATTATGATTTCCTCTATTTTTGCATATCTGTCACACTAAATGGTTCCAACAAATTGTAAAAAACATGAGGAAATGCAAAACAGTATTTAAATGATCATTCCATTAATCAGAAGAGAAAAAGGTTTTGCAACACCTCCATTACTTGTGAAAAAGTAACGCCCCCCTCACCACCCACAAGCTTGGATGACTTTCAAGCATTGCAACTAGGCCGCTCCAAAACCTTCATTTTGTTCCTTTTGAACCATTCAGAGATGGACTTGCTCTTGATCTTTGTATTGCTGCATAACCCAATTACGAGACGTTCTCCTACAGGATATTCTGGTAGAGAGCAGAATTCATGGTTCTATCAGTTATGGCAAGTCGCCCAGGCCCTGAAGCAGCAAAGCATCCCCACACCATTACACTACCACCGCTATGTTTCACTGCTGGTGTGGTAAAGTCATTGAGACTTAATAGCCTGCTTCACATTGCTGGATATGTTCTATTTACGTGATGTTTAGATTCCACTGGGCTGGCAGTAATCAGGCCTGGGTGTGTCTAGTCGAACTGATCCCAGTTCTCAACTACATTTGGTGAAATTAATTTGTTTGGGTGAGTAACTTGGGGTAATTACTATTTCACACAGGGTCAGTTGCTGTTGGGCAACTTTTTTCCTTCCTTTAAATGAAACGATCGTTTAAAGATTGTACTTTCCATTTACTCAGGCTGTCTTCATCTTATATTAAACTTAGTTTGAAGAACTGAAATGATTAAACATCAAACTCAGGCTGAGGTTTTAATTTGTGTAATGAGGTAATGGCAGATAGTTGGACAGTTGTTAAGCAGTGATTGGAGATAATGAAGCTGACGATTAAGAAAGATGTGAGGAGCATCAGGATCATGATCTGCTGGAACACAATGAATTCCGCTGTGCCGCTTCTATACCACTTTTATGTCATAATTGCTCGACAGGCCCACTTAGTGGCTTGAGCCCTGGGCACGCGCCCATAAAGCCCATGGGATGATCCAGGCCTGGGTCCACTCATTACATTTGTGTGGCTTTGTGTACTGAAACTTGTAATTCATTTCTATGTAAATATTTTTCGACCTCCCTTTATCCCTTAGAATTAACCAGGCTGTTTTTATTATCATGTCTTTAAGATGATGTGTGTTCTGATTGGCATCCCTGTGTTCAAAAAGCTGAAACAGTCTTTATAACTTCAGCATGAATGGGTGGAGCTAAACTGCTGTATCTCTCTGAACTGGGAAGCCATGTGGTTGGAACAATATCCTTAGGAGGATTTTTACTTTCTGGACCTGGATTCCCAACCTCTAGTTTACATACTGTATCAAACACTTTTATTTCAAGGAAGTGAGGAAAATTCAGTTTTCCATGACATGGGTGCTTTAAAACAATCAGTATGCGTTTTAATGCTGATAAGTTATCATCTACGTAACCTGCATCTGTCATAATTCCCTGTTATTTAAGGCATTTATTTACACTCTGTTTCTGCAATTCTACTGATTTCAAATGTTAGTTTGTTATTGAATTACGGTCAGTTTCATGACTTTGTGGTCAGACTCTACTGCAGGTTCTGAAAGACTATAAGGTTACGAACCCTCAAATTTCACTTCCCTTACAGACCAGCAGAGGGCAATGTTGTGTAAAGGATCAAAATTATGACTTGGCTCAGTAATGTGTTTATAAGCATTTTTTACACTTCACCAGTATAATGGTATTATGTTAACCACTAAAGACTGCAAATTTGAAATAGGGATGCGCCAATATGCAAGGGGTAAAAAATGGTTTGCGAGTTCAAAAAACAACAAAACAAATGATGGAATACATTTATAATTACCTGGTGATTAAAATAAATATATGCATATCTTTTTTGCATCATGTTTATATTGTGGGAATATATTAGGTTTAGCTTTCTAGACTGCGAGTGTGTCAAAAAGAGAAGAACAGACCCTAACAAAGATGCTAGATATGCAGCAGTGAAGTTCCACTGCAGTTCTATTGCAGGTACTCAGTGGTTTTTTGAGCTGCTACTTTTGTCCTACTACTCAAGCAGCCTTTCATAAGATACTTTTACTGTTAATTGAGTCATTGTTTCACAGAAGTAACCCTAATTTTACTTCAGTATGGGTTTAGTGTACTTTACCCACTTCTTACAACAGCTTATGTGAAAGCACTGCAGTAAATAATGGCCTACATTACTAACTGGCATACATACCATTACAGCAGATGAAACGCAAGAACCAGTAATCAAGCACACACTTTAAAATTAGAAAATATCTTTGGATAACACTTTAGGTTATACACAGAATGTCTTAAATTAAAGGGGAATTCCACTCATTTTCCAAAACTTCCATTTAATTAAATGGTTACGATGTAAATGAAGTCATTCAGATTGGTTTGGTATGAAATGCTCTGTTCTAGATAGACTTACTGAGTCAGAATTGTTCACTGCGGTGGTGATAGGAACCAGACCTCTGAAGAGTTTAATGTCTCTAAAAAACTCCCTTATAGAAAGTAAGAAATGGTTGTGAATTTTCTGCCTGATGCTTGAGATGATAGTTTTGAGAGGTTTTATCATTTATTTTTTTAAATACATTTAGAGGCCAATACAAGGCAAAACAGTAACCAGAGAAAAGGTTTTTTTTTTTCAGATTCACCACTATTTTACTATCATCAACATTCCATTTAAAACTCAGAAGACACATGTAGGTTCACTGATGTTTTTGGAGAGTAAATATAATGGCAAAACTTGTGTTGTAGACATTGTGACCCCTGGTTCCTGTAACTTTCTCAACCATTACCCATTTCACATCAAACCACTCTGAATGGCTTTATTTACAAGCAACTAAATCATAAAAAAATGACATTTCCCTTTAATTCAGTTTTCCTCTTATCATGTCTGGTCTCTCTTCTTGCTGCCTGACTTCTCATAGGAAACCTGAAGGTAACGCCCAGAGCACAAATATAGTTTCAGCCTGTCTTCATGTGTACCTCCAAATTTGCCTGTCAAAAAACGCAAATCACACATAAGCCATCACTCACAGTGCTGCAAGCAAAAAGGTAACTGTACCACCATTCAGCTACTGCAAAATGACTTAAAGCTGCAATTATGGGTTAGGAAAAGCATTTTTATTTGCATCCTACACATGTATAGGAAGTAGGGAAAAAGCTTGGGCAACATTTTTGTGGCACATCTTCAGCTATGTTTACTCTTTCTACTGTTATATTGAAGGAACTTCCATTTTTAATTAAGTTTAGAATTTAATGAACACATCAGGATGAGCTTTAATAACAAGTATGAGAGTTTTTTGGCCTTTAGCAAAAGGAATTTAATGATACATATAAATCTGGTTACTGTTATTTCAAAGTTCGTAACCAAGATGACTAATAGTTACTTTTTTTTGTAAAAATAAAAAAAGTTCACTTTAGTTTATTGGGTGGTTTTCATCAATACAATAAATAAATAAATAGGACGGTGAAAACTAGACTACCAAACTATTGGAGTAGTCATTGTGCAGACTTAAAGGGCCCATATCTTGCAATTTTCTTGTATTTTATTTTTTACCCAGAGATCCACTTACACTATTTGTGTTGTTTTATGTATTAAAAAGTCATGTTCATTTCATTCATTTTTCAACCCCTCTTCATCCCTTAGAATTAAACTCTATCCTATTAGCCCCCTAGAATTAAGGCTGTTTTTTTTACTGTGCCTCGAAGACTGATATCAATGTAAATGTCCTCTGTTCTGATTGGCTGTCTTGTATCTCATTAAAAAATCAGTCCGAGCTGCAACACTCATTATTACTTTAGGGTGAACAGGCAGGGCCTTTATACTACATATAACCTTTCATTTTAAACTAGTGAGGGAATTCGGTTGTCCGTGCTATGAGCCCTTTAATGGCCTTACCTTCTAAAATCTAAATAAAAACATTCATATTACTTTATTAAGTTATGTATGACACATATTTACTGAACACGTCACTTTATTATGTCCATAATCAAGTAAATACAGGCCAGGTGAGTTCACAATAAAGTAAATACAGTCTGTTAACTGACCAAAATGAGTATTTTAGGCTTTGGCTTTTTTTGCAGAAGAGACTCATTGATGATAAGAAATAATGTTAATTTATTTATTGGGTGGTTTCATCAAAAAAGCCCTAAAATATGTATAAAAGCTGTGATTGGCTGCCCTATACCTCATTCAAAAAGTGGGACTCCCTATAACTTCAATATGAATGGGTGGAGCTAATCTGCTGTAGGCTGAATAGGTGGATATATGTAAATGTCTTGTTTTGATGACATCACGAAAACAAGGGATTCAAAGCGGTTTCTTAGCTTCCATGTATGAACTGTGTGGACTGGGGAGTGAACGGTACAGTTTGAAAACACCAACAGTGTTTACTTTCTACATCAAACTTTTTTATTTTAATTCAGCTTTCCATGATATGACATGATATGGGCCCTTTAATGGCCTTTAACTTAATTCCAAATATAAATTAAGTTCACTTTACTTTATAAGTTCATAATAAAGTAAATTCAATCTGGTATCTGAACAATATAAGATTCTTAGGCTATATCTTTTAGCAGTACAGGCTATTGTACAATGAGAATAAACAATGTTCTTTGATTTATTGAGTGTTTGTCATCCAAAAAAGAATAAAATATGTAAATGACTTTTGTCCTGATTGTCTGCCCTGTCTTATTCAAAAAGCAGACTGAAACATCCTATAACTTCAGCATGAGTGGGAGGAGCTAAAATGCCCCAGGCTGAAGAGGTGGATGTATGTAAATATGTTGGGTTTGGTGACATAAAAAAATAATGCAAAAACACTATTTTCCTTAGTTTCTCTATATGGACTGTATGGACTGAGGAGTGAACAGTATATTTTGAAATTGTAAAGGTGTTTACATACTACATCAATTGAAGAAACTTGGACCCTTTAATGGCCTTCATTCTAAATATAAATCAGGATCTCTTTACCTTGTTAAGTTCATAATAAAGCAAATACAGACTGGAAACTGACGCTTTGCTGCAGAAGGAATTGAATCATGAAAATAAATATTGCTCATTTATTTATGGGGTGGTTTTCATTAAATAAAGAACAGAAAAAAAACATGTCTAGGCTGTGAGAACCAGGCTACTGGAGTGGTCATTGTGTTAAGTCGCCCATAAACAGTCTAAGTGAGAGTGGTCACCCCCCCTCTCAGTCAGTCTGACCTGAAGCTGTAACACGATCCGCCCCGCCAGCCAAACTCCTGCAGCGTTTCTCTCTTCACAGCCTCAGTCCAGCTCAGCCAGCACAGAGAGTGGGCTGCGGGACTGTTGCTAAAGCCCACCAGCGGAAAAGCTCCTGTTTATCATCCTTTCTTTTCTACAATGACAGCAGAAAACTGAGGAGTAGATCCTTCTGAGATCGTCTGTTTTCAGATACAAGAAGAATGGATCCAATAACAAAGTGGACACCGAGTCAGGTTGCGGACTGGATGAGAGGTAGGAGCTACACTTAAACCTTTCCTTCTTTGAACTTTCATTTCTCTTGTATTATAAGTTTGAAGCACACTTTGAAATGTGTCGTTCTTGGGATTCCCTCCCTTTTTTCAAAAAGATCAATACTCTGCTCAGTAGGTCATGTGAATTGCACAGGCTGCTTTCTCACATGTGCAGTTAAAGCACACTTTCACGCATGTTTAAAGACATGCTAAACATTTCAGCAGGTTTTCTCAGATCACGGCAAACAGAGTTACAGCTAAATGAAAACGTTTGAACGTTCTCTACATGGAAGAAGCTTCGGTAACACTATTTGGAGTGGTCCTTTGTAGATGATTAATAAACTCGTAACAGATTATCAGTAACACATCAACAACACATCAGTGAAATAGCTTTAATGAAGCATCTGAATGCATTGAAGTAAATATCTTGAAGATGTACTGTTGATTCTTACATTAAGTAGATGTGTTGTTAGTATGTTACTTACATTACGCAAAACCTAACCTTACCCAACCTTACCCAAAACCTAATCCTAACCCTGGCCCTAATCCTAGATCTAACCTTAACCCAGAACCTAATCCCAACCCTCATATGTTTTTACATATTACTGAGAACTTCTGCATTTCACTGTAGATGTGATTTTATTGCATTACGGATGTGACGTCTTCTACAGACTATAGAAATCACATTGTTAAATTTTGTATGAGGCAGTTAAACAGTGAAATAAGAATCAGTTCAAACCCCAAACTCACCAACACATGCACTCCAACTCACATCTAACAATTTTCTCTGCAAATAAGCTATTTTAAAGTTGATTAGAAATAATAACTGCTATTAAAGTGAAATAAGGACCTAATGGGGCAATCTAAAAGAGGTTTCACTGTGATCACAACCTCACTTTTCTATGGTAAGGTTTACTTTCCCATTAAGTTGATTGGCATGAGCTGTTTGGCTAATGGTTTGAACAACAAAGTCTTGCACCAAGAGTTAAAAACAGTACAAAAATGAATTTTTACATTCAGTTTGCTGTTGTTTGTTTGGCCTCAGAAGTTTTTCCTTGATTACACAGATGCAGACAGGATACTGAGACTTTTCCTGGTCCTTTGTCTTTGTGTTTCGCTTACTCATTGATTAACAATAAGAGAATACGCATGACCTGTTTAAAGTTTCTTGTCTGCTAAGTATACATTCAACTGCTGCTAAAACAATGGATTATTAATGAGAGCGGATTGGTGAATGCTGTGGTCAGCTTAGAGCCAGAAGACCCCCGACCCTCTACTTGTCACGTGGTACAAATGCTGAAAGCCTTTTGTTTTAGTTGCTTATAGTGGGAATGTTGTGTCAGTGCAATAGTCTGTGTGCATGTGGAATAAAAACACATAATAGTACCGCCACATTTTTATTTCTCATGAAAATGAAACAGAAATAGAACCATGGAAGTTGTAGTTCATTCTTTCACTTACATAATGAAACACAATTACATTCTGCTGCATTAACCCATATATAAAGCTTTTTGTATCTTAATTAATGTTAAATTATTCCCTAGTAGGAGTGTAAACAGACAGAAAGAAAGATAGATATTTAGACAGACAGGCAGACAGACATGTTGATAGATAGATAGATAGATAGATAGATAGATAGATAGATAAACATGTAGATACATAGATAGATAGATAGATAGATAGATAGATAGATAAACATGTAGATAGATATATAGATAGATAGATAGATAGATAGATAGATAGATAGATAGATAGATAGATAGATAGGCTGAAAGTGCAGGCAGATGAATAAAGGAGATCAAAATCAGCATATCCTTTTGAATAATAAACATAGATGAAAACAGTCAGGTCTCAGATCAGCTGTATGATGGTTAGGTTTTATTGTGCTGAAACCTGCTGAGCCACTGTTTTATACAGCTCTGTGTTGACAGAGCAAATTCTAAAGCCATCGATACCATCTCCTCACATCAGGAACAGTCCTAACACCTGCTACTTATCCAGAGCGGCCTGCACACATGGACACTCAATATCACAGCTTTTTTCATTACAAGTACATCTTTAGATGAGCATAGACAGTGAGGCTGCAGATATACTGACATTACTTAGCAGGCTCAAAACATGATGAATTGACCTTACCATGCTTTGGCCACAAAATGTTTTTTCATAGCTACTGTTGCTAGTTTAGTTTAGACAAGCTTCAGAAAAAGTTTAGCACACAGTTGTCAAAACACAGACATTTACAGTGTGTTATTCATTTTGAATGATATTTGGACAGACAGGCAGGCAGATAGATAGATGTTTTGTAGTGCATGTCTCAAATCTTTTGGCAAGCGGTGGTTTATCAGCAAAAAACATCACAAACAAATGCAGTTTCACTGAACTTTGGTCTCGGCGGTAATCATACGTAAGTGGGCAAGTAAGAGCAGTCAGAAGTAAACAATTCAACCGAAACCAACCACTGCCCCTATGGCCATTAACTGCAGGCCCCTGTGAAAAAACGTAAAGTTCATTAAATGAAAGCCTAAGCAGGTTTAATTCAAGAAAAACAATAACACAAATATATTATATAATGTGAGGTGTAAATATCAGTGACAGTATTTTCTCCACTTGTTGTGATGCCAGCACTCAAACCTTTCAGGTGTTTTAACCACCTCTGGACTTAAAAGAGTTTTAATATGAGCTTTTAACAGCAGTTTAAGAAAGAAAATGGTCAAATCATTATTTAAACCCACTCTTTGTATCAAAGACGACACTTTCAACAATATGAAGCTGAGAGATAAATATAAACAAAGGACTAGCACAGCACTGCTTTGAACCTTAGCAGCTTTTTTGCTTATTAAAAAGTAACAGTGAGAAAGTTAAAGTTTCAAAATTTTGAAGTTGAAACAGATGAATTAGAAATACTGAAGCTAAGCTGCAGTACAGTACGTTAGAGTTGGAGAGCTGCAGTGAGCAGTGAGAATGCAGTCGAGTGCAGGCTTGTCCACATGTTTCTCCTGACAGGTGCAATTATGCAGCATAAACACAGAAGACACACGATCAGACTGCGAAGCTGCTGCAGGCACTTTCTGTCTGCTGTTCAAAAGTCTGGAATCACCCTTTTCAATAATAAATAGCAAATTCTGTTACAAATGTGTTGAAAGTGATTCTCATATGTCACTGCTACTCTACAACTTGGTAACACTTTACTGCAGGGTACTAGTCTTAAGGCTTTATGACACCTACGTAAGCTTATCATGACAATTGACATAACCCAACATAAATGTTTATAAATGCTTATTCCAATAGGCATAATTCACTATAAAGGTTACATTTGCCAGTTTTGATCAAAATTAGCTGAAGTAGCCTTTACAGATGACACCTGTAGGAATAAGCCATCATAAACAGTTATGTAGGGTTTTGTCAGTTGTCATGACAAGCTTATGTAGGTGTCATGAACAGCACCCTACAGTAAAGTATTACCGAATGTTTTAACTATAACCTTTTAATGTATTTTTACAGTGTACAGTCATATATTTGAACACCCCAGTCAAATCAGTTTTGTTGATCTACTAAGTGAAAATAAGTTAACGCATCCTCTACAAGGAACAAACTTAATTTTAGCACAATTTCTATTTATTTGAGTTTAACATACTGAAAAAAGAAAATGTAAAATGTGCCATAACTTTTGCACAGCCCACACATTTTCCCCCCAGGGTGTTCTCTGTAGAGGATGTGTTCACTTCTTTTCACTTACATAATCAATGAAACGTAACCAGGGCCAAACATTTGCATACAACTGTATTTACTCAGGGAGACAAAGTGGGTGAACGTTGGTCAGGAAGGTAACCATTTTTGTGCTAACCAAACCCGTATTGCCCTATTTAAATATTGAAAATGCTTTTTGGTGTCTAGTAAACATGTTGCAATGTATAAGATGACTATTGATGACTGTTCAGCCTCAGGCTATCATTTCTCCTGTTTGTAGCATGTACACTTCAGGAGAGTCATTTAAAATCACTTGAGAAAACACAACATATCATGCATAGACATACAGGAAACCATGACAGTGAGATTTTGTGTGTGTTTGTGTGGAGGAGGTGGTCTTCTTTAGCCCCTCTGTCTGACTAATAAACGCATTGTGCTGTGTCAGCAGGCAGGTTTATCTAGAGTGAAACCATGTGAGCTCCACTCTTCAAGAACCTGTTCACACTTCAGCTTTACAGCCGTGTGAAGGGTTTAAATGATGTTAACATTAACTTAATGTCATCTCTGTGATTAGTTGCTGAACCCTGCAGTAAAGAGTTCAAGTGTGTTCCAGAGGCCTCAGCTTTACTGATAACACATCAGGAGGGGTCAATAAGACAAGCTTTGGATCTAGGTGTATAATGGAGTAGTCTGGTCAGAATAATTGAAACAAAATAGCTGTTCAAATTAGTGCAGAACACCGCAGGATATTAAGGCTTATTACATACTAAGGCTTATTATTTAGTAACTACAGGGACTTCAATGATAACTGATTGAGCTGTTCTTAGGTTATATAAATGTATATAAAACTTTGGGCATGCTGGTGGGCCCTGGCAATTTAAGGGGTTAAATAATGACCCAATAATGACTTCAGCAGTATACTTCTAGGGGTGTAGTTTTTGGTGGGACACTGCAACATTGGTGCCCACTGTTAAAACTAATGTAATCATGAAAATTAATGTAGACTAACAATGGGAATGAGTGTAGAGCAACCACAGAAATAGGTGTAGTGCAATTATGAAAATAACCGTTTAGATCATATATGGAATAGGGGTACACTAACCATGGAATTGGGTGCGGTGTAACCATGGAAATGAGTCCAGTATAACCAATGAAGTGTGTGTGGGGCATAACTATGGAAATAGGTGCGGCGTGGCCATTAAAAATTGATGTAGAGTAACCCGTGTGAAGTTTGAGGCATAATCACCCATCGCCAGGTGTAGCATAATGGGTGTAGCACAGCCATGGAAATTGATGTAGCACAACCGTAGAAAT